ATAGCTTTCTGTCACCTGCCATCATTTATCATTTGGAGATGTGAAAGATTTTTACTGATTCAATCCAAGTAAAACTATTATCATGCTTACGAGCATATTATTTAATCAACATTAGGCTGCATTTCAGGGATTTGTTTTGAAAGTTATTCAGCAATGTCACTGAGTTTTCCAAGCCCCAAGATTAGATAATCAATTAGTTATTAATAAGAAAATTAATTATGTTGTCATTAGTAGTAAATTCTACTGAGAGAATATTATCACTAACAAATATTACATTCTTGATTTTATGCCAGTGATTTGAATTGAGGTATTATTTTGCTTGGGGTTCAAGATACACAATCTGTCATAATTAATTACCTAACTTCATTATTAGTTTTCCTTTAGATCAGCAACAGCATAAAAATCATGCTCCTGAAAGTACTTTCTTAACTTGGACAACGAGGATTAGTGCTTAATTTCATTGTCGACACTTAGACAATTATCAAAACCTATTTTTTATATTCAACACGAGGATTTGATTCTTTTGTCTTCCAACTAACTGGCATCACACATGATTTTTAAAAAAATTGCACTTTTTTTTGTATGATGATGATTATGGTCAAGTAATGTCTCGATTTCGATTCTTAAACTTAAAAGATATGATTTTGAATTCGAGTTTAATTCAATTGATAAATATCTAATAGATTTAAATTTTGAATATTGTAATTAGATCAAAACTAATGAAGCAAATCAGCAGTGAAGTTTAAGCAAAAGTGGGTTTGGAGGGTGGGCATGGATTTATCCTACTGCAATTATTGCAATTATTGCAGGGGTCCTCTAAGACAGCTTCGTTTTAATGTACTTTTACTTCGATCTCAAGAAAGTACATGAAATTTTGTAGTATGTTCGGGTTTGGCTGGACTGGATTACATATAATATTCACACTTTCTTTCAACTCTTTTTATCCAGATCACGTTGAATCTTGAAACCAATTATTCTTAAATTTAAGAACATGTGGAAAAAAACACAAAATAAAACAAAATCCCTGTAATTACGACCATAATTGGCCTGTTCTCTTATGTGAAGCAGCTAACAAGAGGTAAATGTTTAGACAGTGAAATATGAAAGAGTGGACCGTTTTTTAAAATTTGTATCTTGTTAGAAGAATGAATCTGTGAGTGATTAGTCTGTGCAACAGCATTGCTCGAGCATGCAGCTTAGTAATTCTAGAAGTTTACTAGAAGCTAAGGTTGTTAGTAAATCAATTGAGTTTGTTATAAGTCAGTTACAAAGACTATTAAAAATATAACAAATTTGTAATGTTGTATATAAGGATGTATGGTGTGCAGATCAATACAATCAATCTTCTTCATTCAATTTGCATGAGTTCTTGATAGTCTTTCATCGTAGGTGTTCAACATGGTATCAATCGCCATTGATCGTGGGATTTTATGCTCTTGCTTCCGCTCGTGAATAAAGGTTCTCGACGTTTAGCTCACTCATGGATCTTACCTCGTCTGCAGCTCGAAGCTTCTCCAACAAGAAAGTTAATGTGGTTCTTGATGAAACCAACTTCTTGCTTTGGAAACAACAAGTTTTACTCATAGTTAGGAGTCACTGGCTGGAGCGTCTACTGATCGGTGATGTCTCTTCGCTGCCTATGACGGTTCTTGATCCAAATGGTGAGACGCGAGTGAATGAAGAGTACGAGGACTTTGTTGCGCAGGACAGTGCGCTGGCATCGTGGCTTCTATCAACAATGGGTAAGCATTTGCTGCCACAGTTCGTTGGAGCAGAAACAACTGCTGCTGTTTGAGAAACAGTTTTAAAATTTTTCGCAAATCGCTTGACTATGTCTGTTATTAGCCTGCATTATAAACTGCAGTCTATAAGGAAAGGTAATGATTGTATGAGGGTGTATCTCACACGCATCAAGGAGGTATGTGATGCTCTTGCCTCGTGTGAAAGTATTGTTCCACCAGTCGAGCAAATTGTGGCCATCTTGAAGGGCATTCCTCGTGAATACCAGCCCTTCATAGTTGTTGTTTCTACTATGAAGGAGGATCTATCAATTGATAATATCTACAGTATGCTCATGGATGCTGAGGTCCAGATTGTGGGGTTTGAAGAACATCATTTCATTCTGCCAATTATGCTCGAGGAGATTCTGATCGTAACATCTCCAACCGTCAAGATCATAGGGGCAATTGTGCACCATCATCTGCATCTGGATCGAGGAATGGTGGTCGAGGGCGTGGTCGATCACGTGTCCAATGCCAACTCTGTGGGAAGCTAGGCCATTTGGTTGACCGTTGTTGGCATAGGTTTGATGAAGACTTCACATGTGTCAATACCAACAATTATCACTCTTCCAAGGATAATTCCTTTAGTAGCTATCCCTCGTCTGGCTCGGTCTCTACCAGTGGTAACAAGGACTGCGAGTGTTGCTCACGGTTGAAATCAGACTCTCAATCAAACATGGTTGCTGCATCCTCTGAACGATTGGTGGTGGACTCGGGTGCCACGCATCACATCACCCCAGACAAAACAAATCTTACAAATGCCTCTGATTTCCTTGGACCAGGTAAAGTTATAGTTGGTAATGGTGTTTCCCTTGACATTCGAACGGTTGGTAGGTCAATCTTACCTACTAAATCTAGAATTTTGCTGCTGCATGTTCCCCATATAGCAAAAAACTTGATTTCTGTTTCGAAGCTTGCTAGGGACAATAACATCTTCTTTGAGTTCCATGCAAATAATTGTTGTGTACGTGATGAGGTTACCAACAGAGTGCTTCTAACTGGTGAAGAGTCTGGAGGGCTTTACTCGTTTATAGCAAGTCACACTGGAAAAGAAGACATATGCACTGCTGCTGATGTTAGCTTAGTTACTAAATCTACAACTAGTGAGCTAGAGGAGTTATGGCATCGAAGACTTGGCCATCCCTCTACTAAAATACTAAGACAAGAAACTAAAGAGCTTGATGTAAAATTTTCTTTAGATTCTAATAAAACGTGTACTGCTTGCCAAATGGGAAAAAGTCACAGATTACCATTTATGCATTCAATCACAACTTATGATACTCCATTCCAGCTTATTTTCACTGACTTGTGGGGACCTCCACACATCTCCTCGAATGGATTTAGGTATTATGCTTCGTTTATTGATTCATGTACCAGACACAAATGGATCTATCTTCTCAAATATAAATCTCAGGCCACTAAAGCATTTCTATTATTTCAAAAGATGGTGTTAACGCAATTTGGTGCATCCATTAAATCTGTTCAAAGTGACTGGGGTGGTGAGTTTCGTAGTCTCTCCCCACTTCTAGCTAAAGATGGTATCATTCACAGATTGTCATGTCCTCACACATCCGAGCAGAACAGAGTTATTGAGAGAAAACACAGGCATTCAGTTGAGATGGCTCTTGTATTACTGGCACATATAACACTACCAATGAAGTTTTTGTCATATGCAATTATTTCTGCTGCTCAGTTAATAAACAAGCTGCCTACTAAGGTTTTACAAGGGCTCTCCCCTAGTGAGAAGCTATTTGGGAAGAAGCCAAACTACGATGAGCTCAGGGTGTTTAGATGCCAATGCTTCCCTCACTTAAGACTCTTTCAAGCCCACAAACTTACATTTCGATCTCAACCATGCACTTATCTCGGTGTCAGCCCCCAACACAAAAGCTTTCTATGTCTGGATGTTGATGGAAAAGTTTATGTTTCTAGGCATGTTGTCTTTAATGAAACTATGTTTCCTTTTACAGGTCAGGTGCCCCCGATTATATCACATGTGGCTCAGAATCACCATTCTCAATCCCTTGAGATTGTACCACACAGACAGCCTGTACCTACGCAGCAGCCTGCTCATCCGGGCACTCCAGACAATTCTACATCAGGAGAAACATTGCCCTTCAACATGGAAGATGTTAGTATGGAAGAGGCTACGGGTGAGTCTTCGAATGCTCTCACTGACGCGAGTGGTGAAACCATACCTGAGAATAATCCTGTAGAAGAAGTAGTTGGAGAATCCTCTCATCTAGTTACTCCCAACAGTAACACTAGTGAAATAAATGCAAATACTGAAGGCAATTTTGAAATTCCTGCCAGTAATCTCAATCTGGAAATTCCTCATGCTGCTGATAGATTTCACATGAACGACCACCCTATGATCACAAGGGGCAAGCGTGGTATTTTCAAACCAAAAGCTTTCTCTTGTCATTTTGATGAGGTTGTTCCCTCCACTGTCGATGAAGCACTACAGTCACCCAAGTGGGCTACTACTGTTCAATAAGAGTTTGATGCTCTCATAAGAAACGACACCTGGACTCTTGTTAAACTTCCTCCAGGTCGTGCTGCAGTAGGGTATAAGTGGCTATTTAAGGTAAAGTGTAACCCATATGGTTCGGTTCATAGATACAAGGCACGCCTGGTTGCCAAAGGTTTCTCGCAGGTTCCTGGGCAAGACTATTTGGACACCTTCAGTCCTGTTGTAAAGTTCACAACACTGAATATCATATTGTCTGTTGCAGTATCCAATGATTGGGAATTGAGGCACGTTGATATCAACAATGCCTTTCTTAATGGTGATCTAAGAGAAGCAGCTTTCATGCAGCAACCACCTGGTTTCGTGCAATCAGCAGTAGATGGTTTGCCTCTTGTATGCCAACTGCGGAAGGCGCTATATGGATTGAAGCAAACCCCTCACAACTGGCATACCAAACTGAAGGATGTGCTTCTATAAATTGGCTTTCAAGTGTCTCGAGTTGACACTTTACTTTTTTTCTCAATATCAGGTACTGAGCATGTCTATCTTCTAGTCTACGTGGATGATATAGTAATTACAGGGTCATCATCATCCTCGATTGATAAGATTGTGTGCACGCTTCGAGATACTTTTCACTCAAAGATCTAGGGCCCCTTAGCTACTTTTTGAGAATTGAAGTAAAACGGTATGGTGGTTCCTTAATGCTTAGCCAAAAGAAATTTATCTTAGAGCTGTTGGAGAAAGCTAGCATGGAAAACTCATCACCATGTGCAACGCCTATGACTCTGGCACCCAAACTAGCTGAAGATGGTGAGCCATTGGCTAATGCTATCATGTATCGATCCATTGTTGGATAATTACTATATGTTTGTCATACCAGGCCAGAACTAGCCTTTAGCGTTCGGAAGGTGGCCCAATTTATGCATGCACCCTGTGCAAGTCATCTCTTAGCTGTAAAACGAATCTTGAGGTATCTTGCAGTAACTCTTGAGTATGGATTAATGTTTCTGCCATCCAAGGCGCGGTATGTTGTTTCTGTATTTGTTGATGCTGACTGGGGTGCCAATGTTTCTGACCGTCGCTCAATTTCAGGTTTTGGTGTGTTCCTTGACAACCACCTGGTTGCATGGAGTTCCAAGAAACAAAAAATTGTGTCACGTTCTACCATGGAGGCTGAGTATAAAAGTTTAGCTGATACTACAGCTGAAGTCACTTGGGTAAGTACACTAATCAGTGAACTTGGGTTGAAGTAACATGGAAAATCTGTAATCTGGTGTGACAACATAGGGGTCGTGGCAATGAGTGCCAATCCGGTTTACCATGCACAATCAAAGCACGTGGATCTTGAAGTGCACTTCATTCACGAAAAGGTGGCAGCTCAACAGCTTTGTGTGAACTATATTCCTGCAGCTCATCAAATTGCAGACGGTTTTACTAATCCCTTGTCCAAAGCATCCTTTGAAATGTTTCGAGAAAAGATTGGGGTACAAGTTTTTTCAAGACTAGGAGAAAAGAAGAAGTAGAGGGAATGTTAGAAGAATGAATCTGTGAGTGATTAGTGTGGGCATCAGCATTGCTCGAGCATGCAGTTTAGTAATTCTAGAAGTTTACTAGAAGCTAAGGCTGTTAGTAATCAGTTGAGTTTGTTATAAGTCAGTTACAAAGACTGTTAAAATATAACAAATTTGTAATGTTGTATATAAGGATGTATGGTGTGCAGATCAATACAATCAATCTTCTTCATTCAATTTGCATGAGTTCTTGATAGTCTTTCATCGTAGGTGTTCAACATGGTATCAATTAACTGCATGATTGACTTTTCTCCTTCCCTTGAATTGAGAGTTTCTTGCTATGTAAAGTGTTTCTTAAGATAATGTTAGTGTCTGAAAAGAGCTAGAAGACATCACCACCAGTTATATATGGCCCTTATTAGATTCACCGTCACTTTCCCATGTACCACATTGAATGTGAATAACTCTTTCATTTTTTTTATATTTTTTTTTATCTATTTCTTGTTTCGGTAGTGAAGTTAATCTAATTTATTTACAAAACCATTTGTATAAGTAACGGAAAATGTGAAGTAGGGAAGGGTTTCAATAACTCCCTTTTGAGACTTGAAAATCTGGCAATTGGAAAATGTAATTTGAAGGTAGTAAGATTGTTTAAGCCAAAAGGCAGCACTCTCAACAAATTAATGGATTTCGTTTACTGAAAGCCACCTAAATTTAAAGGGGAAAGAGGTTGATAAAGATGTTATAAAAAGCGATTACGATGGCTTTTGTGTCCTTTCGACAGTGATAGACAACCAATTTGGAGTGTTGGAAAACACAAAAAGTGATGATGAATGTAATATTATTATCTAAAACAAGGAGATGCATGGCACACACGCGATTGTAAGAGAGAGAGAGAGATGTTGCAGATAGCTAAAGAATGGTTTGAAAATCCAAACCCACATCGGATGAATACGATATGTACTTTCTTTTTATAAACAATCGTTTTACATCATACAGTTTGCAACATTCCAATACACAAATATGGCCATATGCAACCAGGCAAAAAGAGAGAGTAGAAGACCGATAAAACAAGCCTTATTCTGCTGTGCTACCCCACACACCCACACACAGAACAAATGGAAAAAGCTAACAATATGATTGTTTTGCTCACAAGTTGTCCAAAACCAGAGGTGATGAACTTTGTGTATCAGACTTATATACACAAGAATTGAAGTAAAAACAAAAGGCTAAAAAATGACCATAAGCTGTCGTAAATCTCTGGATGTCCTTACCGCTCTGTTCGGAATTTTGTAAACCTTGTTGTTGTTGTTGCTGTTGCTGCTGTTGTTGATTATGAGGCCACATACTGTTCGATAAACTATTATCTGTTGAGCAATGTGTTTCTGATTTTATCTCCATACTGTATAAGCCGGACTGTGGAGTTTGATTTTGCAAAGCGGCCGCCATTAACATTTGGTTGTTGAGATATTCTGGCCACTTCACTTCCTCCACTTGGTTTTCCATTAGACGGATCGGAGCTTCTTCTTTCTCTGATGTGCTACAATCCGTCATTCCCCAAGCGAAATTGTTATCAACTGTAAATGAAGCCATTGAAGGATTGAACCCCATAGGAAAAGAGAGGAATGATGAGGTTGTCAATGGTGGGAGAAGGCTGGAGATGGAACTAGAAGAAAACTCCGAGTTGATATCGAAAACTTTGCTGGTTTGGGTGTACCACGGAGTAGGGTTTAAAGAAGACGAGAGCCTTGCATTGGACGATGATGGATAGTTCAATTGCTGCATCGAAAAATGACCCGCCAAATCAGAAGGCTGGCTGTTAGCGCATGTGCTCGCGAATCTATCGAGAAACAAGTCGTTGCTTGCCGTGGATGCCATCAAATTGTTGCCACTGTTGATCGTCAAGGAGCTGGAAGAACAGCCTTCCATTTCCAACGGATAAACAAATCTTTGTTCATACAACGTTGCCCCTGGTTTATCGGTGTTGAGGTTCAAATCACTAGATGCCCCTGAAGCCATGTCCAGACTATTAGTGTGTTGACTCTTGTTGTCTTCTCCATTTTCAACCTCGGAGAGAGGTTTGTGAGTGATAGGGTCAATGCCTCTCTGCCTAAGCTTCTTCTTTAAGCAAGAGTTCCATAGATTCTTAATTTCATTGTCAGTTCTTCCCGGTAATTGTGCAGCGATTTGGGACCACCTGAGGATTCAACAAACAAGATAACACAAAGAATGTTTACTGAATTCTGTATAAAATTTCCAAAAAAAGGGGTTATTAGAAAGAAAGAAAGAAAGAATACCGATTCCCCAAAACTGCATGAAGTTCAATTATGAGATTTTCTTCTTCTTGAGAGAATGTGCCTCTCTTTAAATCAGGTCTTAAGTAATTAATCCACCTTAATCTGCAACTCTTTCCACACCTCTGCAGGCCTGCCAATTCATGATGGCTTAAAGAAGGAACAGACAAGAAGAAGAAAAAAAGAGTTGAATTGTTTGCTTTTTTGCTTTTAAGATTTTACCAGCTTGTTTAGGGACAGAGCTCCAGCAACCATGGCCGTACTTGGTAATATGCCTCAAGAGCTTCTCATCTTCTTCGGGAGACCAAAGACCTTTCCTTAGCTTCTGCTTGTAACAGCAAGAGTGCCTCCCCATTTTGAAACAAAACCAAATTATAACGACTAAGTCCTAAAACAGCAACTTTGCTGAATCCTAGGCGAAATTGTAGCAATCAAAAGTGTTTTTAGATTGCTTTTGTGAGAGGGAAAAAAGAGAGGATTTTGATATTCGAAAATGAAGTAGCAGCTGAGAAAGGAGTTGAATTAATATAAGAGGAAGATGTCCAGAGAGAAAAGTTGTATTCAATATGGTATTACAGTTTCCCTCAACCCCACCTCTTTTTCCTTTCGGATATATATTCTCTTTCACACCAAAAAAAAAATATTTATGAAAATTAATCTGGTTAAATTCCCAGTTACTTATTCTTCTTCTTCTTCTTTTAATTTTGAGTTAAAGGTCCGAGAATTAATGTCTTTTGCAGAGAAGGTGTGTCATCTTTCTTACAGTAAATTTTAACCGAAAGTAAAGAAATTTTCATACTGGGTTTTTTTTCTTCTTCTTTACTGTATGAGCTTTTACGGAGAAATATCCTCGGGAATCATTATAGCTTTGAAAAAGGTTTCATTATTACGTGGAAAGAATCAAATTATTTTGGCCCTGTTCTGAGATTTAAAAACGTCTTTCCCGATTGCGATGAATTCCACTCATCGTTGTAAACTACCTTACTCGGCAAATAAATTTCCAGATTGGGATTTTCCCGTCTTGAAAATCACATTCTCCCATGGGAATTGCTTTCTCTGACACGGAAATGACCATTTTCCAGAAAGTTACAAAAGCTGCTGTCTTCATGTATTTACAATACCTTGAAGATGACTACGTAGTTTGTATTTATCTTATCAATCAACACATTCCTCTCCACTCTCTTTGTTTCATTTTTTTGGTAACATAGGTAATCAGGTTAAGTTTACAAAGAAGACCCAAGTCCCCAATTTTTATTACAAATTCAGAAGTGTAATTTAACTCTTTTGACATTGTCACGTTGGTTTAAAACCACATTTGGACCAAAGCATTATTGCCTGGCCACGCCCCACCATTTTTGTACCAATTTCTGACCTTCCTGCATCACCCTTTCTCCCATCACTGTTTACATGACAGATCTTGCAGATATCTGAAAGATTGAGATTCATCATACAATATTACTGTGTCCTAGTTCATGTCATGATCATGAAATATGGGCCGTGTTGCGAAAATATATGATGAAATCGTTTTTTTTAAACTTCTATTGATAATACATCGTTTTTCTAAAGAAAAATACATTAAATACTATTAAACTTTATCGGTTGACTAATTTATATAATTGAACTTGTAATTTATCAATTATAACATTATATTTTAAATTTACATTCAATAATAACATTCTAACATTAAGTCAAATAATAAAACGATAATATAGTCGACGAAATGATGAAGTGATTACCATGTCAAAACGACGTCATTTTGATATGATTATTTATAATATGAAGTCAGTTTGTGCAAGAAAACATATTTAATTGCAAAATGACAGGTGAACATGAAGATAGATTAACAAAAAAAAACAATAAGGATTGGGTTTGGAGATTAATTTTATATTAATCTTAATCATTAGAAGTTTACAGCAGCAATTCACGACAGACCAAATAATTCTAAGAAAACTCAAATATTTTAAATCCCCATAATCCTTGCTGATTGCAGCGGTCTTTTGTTTAGCCTGCCACGACAAAAACGAAATTGAATTTCTAAGAGGCCATGAAGAGATGGATTAAAAACTAGAGAATTTTGTAGCCCTCTCCCTCTAATTTTGTTTTCTCTGTGCAATTTTTAAATGATTTAACAAAGCTTACGAAAGATAACAAGAAATTTCATCAAATTATTCCAAATCATTAGCTGTCCTGAGCATGGCCCGCCGTTGAAGTGTGAAACCCATTGGGAATCTTTGATAAAAAAAAAGATTACAGTACCTTAACATCAATTATACAATGGACCAGTTTATAAATAAATGAATTGAAAAATTTTGGAAATTATATATTCAACTTTTATCCTAATAACATTAATTCCTTCTCCTACATCAAAATGTTGACGTGTAACATAGTTTATACATTCCAAAACACTAATAATTGCCCCTGTCAAATCATTGAATGATCTTGGCGTAAAAATTAATTTCATGGGAACTTGGGATTGGACCCCATTGTTTGGAAGGGTCGGGGCTTTGGGGGTAAAAAGAAAAAACCTCTATAATTTTTTTATTATTATGAGTGATTATAAAATATTAAATATTTCATTTTATGATTTATAACTAATGTCTTTTTTAATTATATATAGTTTTAAGAGATATATTTGATCTAATAAAAAAATAAAATTATTTTTAAAAATTGATAGATAGGTTTATTTTGGTAAGTTTAAAAGTGAACATATAAGAATAAAAACGAAAATATAAATGTTATAGTTTATTAAGTTTTATAATAAGATATTTTGAGAAAGATAATTTAAAAATTAAAAAAAAAAACACATTTAATAAAATAAAAAGAGTAGTATTTATTTAAAAAATTATTATTTGATAATTCATGTTTAATATCATTGTGAACGTCGTTAAAGTACTCATCCGACAATTCAATCACAAATCTTTATAATTATTTTGTTTCAATATTTTATTGGATGAAATCTTTTGAAAATAAATATGAAATTTTCTTTATTTAATTTTTATGAGTTTGAAAATTGAAATGTTTAAATTTAATTTATCATAATTTTTTATTTGAGTAAATTTATTATTTAACCCTAAATTCAATGCTAATCTGGGTTACTTCTTGCTTGTATTTTATTTTACATTTCATAAATTACAGCATATATAGTACCAATAAATTTTGTGTCAATGATTTTTGTAAGTTTAGTATCTAGATTATTTTCGTACGCATGTTATAATTTTTAACGCAGTTAGACTCTTCAAAATATAATGAATACTTATTTATTAGACATAGTATGAAACTTTAATATTATTTTGTCCAAGTACTCGATTTTAAAAGAAAATAAATTTTGAATTTTTTTTGGATAATTCAATTTTATTACCCAAAGAGCAGAAATTGCTACAAAAAACAATTAGAGTTCTGAATACTTTAGATCATCATACTTACAAAAAAAAATCAATGATCAAACTATATCTCAATGCTTACAGAGAATAATTTAACACTATCAATTCTATTTATATTCCTACCCCTTAATTGTAATCCAACAATATCCTTAATGGCATGAAACAATTCTTGAACATTTCTGGATCGACCTTGAAACAACCTTTTGTTTCTTTCTTCCCAAAGAAAGTAGATAAGTGCGTTTAGAGCAATCTTCATCATCGTAGTGAGCAATGATTTACCTTTCCAAGTAGAATAAGCCCACCCAAAAAGAGCCTCCCATAAACAAGTTTTATACTTTAGACCAGAAAGGGAGAAAACTGCTTTCCATAAGTAATCTGTCACATGGCATTCAAGAAACAAGTGGTCCCTTGTTTCCAAAGCTTCATCACAAAAAACGCATTGACAATCATTGATAAGCTCCATACGTTGAAGTTTTTCCTTTGTAGGAAGTCTATCAAGTAAAGCCATCCATGCAATCAAACTGTGTTTAGGGATATGAAGAGGTAACCAAATCATTTTCTGCCAAGGTATTTTAGGTCTCTTTTCCCGAATTGCATCCCATATATCACTCACTTTCTTTGCTCCAGAAGACATAATAAGGTAAGCCTCAGATCTCAATTTTAGAATTCGCCTTAAGCTCCAGCTAGTAGAGGATCGAATTTAGACATTCCAAAAATCATTATCTTTGAGAGCGTAGCTTTTAATCCAAGCCACCCATAAGGAACCTTCACCTATGAGGATATGTTTAATTAGGAGGATTATACATGCTTTGTTCCAAATCTTCATATCATTAATTCCTAGCCCTCTTTCTGATTTCAAAAGAAAAATATTCTGCCAACTCACTCTAGCTCCAGATGTTGTTATGTCCGTTCCTTTCCAGAAAAATCGTGAGCAAAGTTGTTCAACCTTCTTTAAAACAGAATGAGGTAGGAATAATTGCATACACCAGTAGTTAGTAATACTAAATAACACAACTCTGATTAATTCCAGTATGCCTGCATAACTTAGAGTTTTTGCAGACCAATGATACAACCTTGCTTTAATATTATCAATGAGGGCCACACAATCCTTGTTAGAGATTTTCCTAGTGACCAATGGGATGCCTAAGTACCTCACTGGCAGACTGCCAGTTTTGAAACCAGTGATCAGTTTAATTTCCTCCAGAATAGAGAAGGGCATACCAGCAGCAAATAATTCACATTTAGAAGCATTGAGTTTGAGGCCATACATTTCATAAAACAAATCTAAGACACTTGTAACCCTAATTACAGATTCAACTGACCCTTTGTAAAATATTAGGAGATCGTCAGCAAAAGACAGATGAGTAAGGCCAATTCTTTTGCATTTAGGATGATAACCAAACATACCTCTAGCGGCTGCCAAATTAAGGAGTCTTGAGAGGACATTCATAGAGAGAATAAATAATAAAAGAGAGAGGGGGTCTCATTGTCTAATACCTTTAGCACCCTTAAATAAGCCAATTAAACTCACATTGAAAGAGACATATTATCTAGCTGTTGAAAAACAAATTTCAATCCAAGTAATAAAGATTCTTGGAAGTCCAATGGCCTTCAAAATGGCAGAAATGAATTCCCAATTATGTGCATCAAAGGTTTTATGGAGATCAATTTTCAGAGAGCATCTAGGGGATATGTTCTTCCTACTATAGCCTCTTACCAATTCCTGGGCAAGAAGAGGATTATCAACAATACTTCTTCCTTTAACAAAAGCAGTTTGATTGAGAGTAACCAAATCAGGAATGAGGCTTATCAATCTTTTAACCAGGATCTTAGAAATGGCTTTATAAACCACAGAACAACATGAAATAAGCCTGAAGTCCTTTACTTTACTTGGATTAGGAATCTTTGAACCAAAGCAATAGTGGTAGCATTGAAAGCAGAGAGAAGAAAAGACTCTTGGAAGAATTGTTTTATGGCAGCAATAACTTCATCACCAATGATAGGTCATGATTTTTTTGAAGAAATAAGGAGTATAACCATCAGGGCCAAGGGATTTGTCATTTCCTTGGCAGAAAAAAGCTTCCTTGATTTCATCCTTTGAGATTTCTTTTACA